GAGGGCTACAGAGCTCATTTGGGACGTAGGCATCAGCTGCTCCCTGGGTGGAACGCACAGAGACATTATGCTGTTGGGAAAATGCAACGCTGGAGGGTACCTGGGTACCAGGTTTATAAAAACACATCCTTCATAGCTCAGAAGTCCTGAAGTAGGGACACACACAGGCTCAATATATGGACGATGCCCTGTGTGTGTGTGTTACTGTGTCACTAAGTCACATGTGACTCTCTGCGGCCCCATGGACTGCATGGGGCCACCAGGCTCCTCTGTCCATGGGATTTCTCAGACAAGAACACTGCAGTGGGCTGCCGTTTCCTTCTTCAAGGGATGTTACTGACCTAGGGATCAAACCTGCGTCTCCTGCATTGGCAGGGGGATTCTTTACCACTGAGGCACCAGGGGATCCTGTACGTATCTGAGGTATATATAAAGAACTTAGGCCCGTCTGGAAGCAGGGATGCTCTACATGCTGTTTGTCAAAGTTCAAAAGAAACCCCAGGAAATGATTAAGAAAGCCTGATCTCAGACTGGGTGTGACAGGAAGCAGAAACAAAACCAGCCTTCCATTCTGGCTGTTGCTAGACCCAAATCAAGCTGGTTCCCCTCCCGGGGCCTCAGCCTCCTCTTCTCCAGCACTAACGCTTGGCCACTGGGTTCACAGACTCTAGTGGGTAAGTCCCCCTCCACCTCCGGAGCACAGCCCCCTGCCCCCTGCATTCACAGCCGGCTGCAGCTGGGCTCACCAGCACAACGTGTAGGATCGCATCATCGCTGTGCTGCGCTGACCTGGCGACCGGCGAGCATTCTGAGGCCAGTTCTAACGCGAGGAACATTTTTCTGCTCCCGGCTGGCTGCCTCGGCCCACAGGATACAGTTTTGGCTGAAGTCTAACCGCACTATGAATGATTTCAGTTCAGTTCAGTTCAGTCGCTCAGTCGTGTCCGACTCTTTGCGACCCCATGAACCGCAGCACGCCAGGCCAACTCCCGGAGTCCACCCAAACCCATTTCCAGCTAGTCAGTGATGCCATCCAACCATCTCATCCTATGAATAATTAACGGGTTAAATAATGTTACATGGGTGGCTGCTTGGCATCCAGAGTGCGTTCACTGTTAACCAGACACACTGCGTCGAGCGTTTAGAGAGGAAAGCCGGAGGGGAGAGGCACACACATCCCCAGGCAAGGACGGAAAGTCTGGAAACCCAGCCCCGACACCAGAGACGGAAGAGAGGCGTCGACATGGAGGGGACACGAGGCACGTACGTGCGGGTGCGGGCCTTGGGCGGGAGGCCTCGGGAGCAGCGCCTTCCCCCGGAGCGCCGAGCCAAGGCTCGGCCGCGTCCGCATCAGGAGGCGGGTAGGGCGGGGGCGGGGGCAGCACTAGCTGGGGGGGCCCACGAGCGGCGCCTCGGGGGGGCTTCTGTGGCACCTGCCGGCCGACACCTACATGGAATCAACAGGGGTCACTTCAGAAGGTGAAGCCCACAGCTCTGTGCCTCCCACAGAAGGCATGTCAAAGCCACACCCACACCGAGGACAAACTCACGGCCCCAGACGCACACACAGCCGCACCGGACCCAGCCACACCCGCACACTGGATCTAGACACACCCCGGACCGGACCCAGAGACACCCGCACCGGATCCAGACACGCCTGCACTGGACCCAGACACGCCCGCACCGGATCCAGACACGCCCACACCGGACCCAGACACGCCCACACCGGACCCAGACACGCCCACACCGAATCCAGACACGCCCACACCGGACCCAGACACGCCCGCACCGGACCCAGACACGCCCGCACCGGTTCCAGACACACCCACACCGGATCCAGACACGCCCACACCGGATCCAGACACACNCACCGGACCCAGACACGCCCGCACCGGACCCAGACACGCCCGCACTGGACCCAGACACGCCCGCACCGGACCCAGACACGCCCGCACCGGTTCCAGACACACCCACACCGGATCCAGACACGCCCACACCGGATCCAGACACACCCACACCGGATCCAGACACGCCCACACCGGATCCAGACACACCAGCACTGGATCCAGACACGCCCACACCGGTTCCAGACACACCCACACCGGATCCAGACACGCCCACACCGGATCCAGACACGCCCGCACCAGATCCAGACACGCCCGCACTGGACCCAGACACGCCCGCACTGGACCCAGACACGCCCGCACCGGATCCAGACACACCCCACACCGGATCCAGACACCCCCGCACCAGACCCAGACACGCCCGCAGCGGATCCAGTCACACCCCACACCGGATCCAGTCACACCCGCACCGGATCCGGACACACCCGCACCGGACCCAGCCGTTCTTGGCACCGAATCCAGCCACACCCAGCACCAAATCCAACCTCTCACATGATTCACTTATTCTATATACGTGTTCTGTCCTTGGGTCCCTTTGAAAATACCTGCCCAGTTACCATTTGTTTCTGGAAGGCACAGTATTTTTAAATGCTGGGCCTGCACTGTTATTAAAACTCCCTAAACACTTCTGTCAAGTTAAAAGAAACTCCTTTTCTTCATGATAGTCTTTTTCAGGTTCACAGATTTGTTTTTTTTGTTTTTGGCTTATTCTCGTTGCTTATAATTATGGATTCAATAATCCCCTAATTTTGTTTCCCTCTTTAAGCTCATTTACACTATTAATCTCTTTGTTTGTGGTAATAGCTTTCACTTTGTCTCAAAAAGGGTCCTTGGCTGGAGAAAGGGAGAGAAGTGGGTTCTCTTACTCCTGTCTATCTCTCAGACAATCAGAGCAACCCTCCTTGATCTATTCACATTGGGGATTTATTTACAATTTTCTATGAAAATGATCTTCTGCTAATAAAATTTTTGAAAGTCAATGACTTAAAATAACACGATATGAGTTCCTAGTGTCATAAGTTGTGCTCATTATACTCATTTTAAAAATAGTTTCTTCAAGCTCTAAAGTTTAGAATTTTCTAGTAATTAATAGAGTCTATACTTCATGCTCTTTATCAGACTATTAATAAAAATATTAAGAGACTTCATTTCTTCATTAAGGGATATATCCATTTATTCCTTCTCTTGGTTGTAGTTCTTTAGACACAGAAAAATTTAATATTCCTATATCTATATATCATTTCCTCTCTCAAAGTGCAAATAAGCTAAGGCAGTCTGAATGGGTATGGTTCGCCTGGCCCACAAGTAAGGACCTGACAAGACAAGACAGCACCAATCCCAAGGCAGGCAGATGAAGAGGCTCTCCACTAGAAGGCTTGGTTTTGTTTGCCAAGAAATTTGGGTCAAGACCCAAATCCAGCCAACTGCAATACTACTTTAGCACAAGTGCCAAACATTGAAAACATTTTGATCCCTAGGGATCTGATACAAAAAGCTCAGAATATTTTGTTGTGGTTTCGACTACTTTAAAAGCATTATCTTTTAACCTAAAGCCAAGACTTTGGCTAAAAGTTCTGCCTGTGATGCCAATATTGTACTTTTAATTCATGGGGATTTCTGATGGTGATGGAAGTCTGCCTTGAAATGGCCAAGACCCCTGACCTCAAAAATTATTCAGTTATTGTCTGGAGGAAAGGGACTTCTGGCGTCCTCCTTAATCCTCACAGACAAGTTTATGGACCAGAGAGAGACTCATGCCCAGTCACTACCATCCACACCTCTTTGTAGAGGCAACTATCACCATAGTTTTCACTTTAAAATCCCATCTCCCTTCTCCTGTGATCCACTTGGGTACCAGCAGCCCAGAATCTCTAAGCTCGTCAGAGATGGGCCTCGGTCTTTCAAGGCTCCATCAGGAGGTCCTTCCTTGGGCTGAAATGGGCTGGTCTGGCCAGAAATTTTGCTGGACTCAACACATCCACACTACCCTGACCATGGATGCTTCTAAGAATTTCAACAGGGAACTCTCAATCTGAGTTCATCATCCATTTATGAAGAGTGAGGAGGAGGCTTGGAAGGCAGAATAGGGGTCTCATTAAGAGAAAAAGAAAACAGGATTACTTGAAGGAGCTATTGATCACGTTTCCTTTAAATCAGATAGCTTTTCCTTTGGGAAAGAGGATGCACTGACGTGAAATACAGGCTATAGCTCCTTAGAAAAGTCAATCCTCACGCTGTGAAATAAAATACTAAGACATTAAAAGCAAGGTACTAGCCAGGGGAAAATGCTGACAAACAGCCAAGTAGCTCTCATGAAAGTTTTAGGGCTAACAGTGAGACATCGCATCCTTGGGCACGTTTTCCCTTTGGGTGCTGCAGCCTTGAGATCAAAGGCAGACCACAAGAGTGCCCAGGAGACTGAACAACACCCTGTAATGAGGGCTGAGACACTTGTGTCAGAGGTTTATCTTGGTCCCTCCGTAAATGAAATAACAAACAGTGAGTGATTTTAGAAAAAAATCCCTGGCTCATGGACCTAGGGATGGGAGCAGGATGTTATGATCCAATAGGTCTTTCTGCTCACAGATATTATAATTGCACCCTTTTAAACTATATTATGATTGCACCCTCTTTAACTTGGGTTCCCTTTTTCTCTAAGAATATCATATATGAAAGCTATAGAACTGGTGATCAGTTTCAAACAGTGTGCTCAAAAAATGACGGAACCTGATGTATAAATCCCCTGGGTTGAAAGTCTTCCACAGCATCATCCATGGGCTCCATCCTTGGACTCATCGCCTTCCACAAGCAGACACCGACTCCCAGCCACACACATGGGCTCTTCATGCGCCCCCTCCTGGGCCTCCTCAGTCACCCTCACCTTTCCCCACCGGCCCACCTTCTAAATGCCTGCACCACCCCCGGAAAATGCCTGCAGGGTATTACATGACTCGCGACTGTTTATTTCCAGACTTTCTTTCTTTAGCTTAAATATTCTTCGGGTTAATGCCATCCCGGAGGAGGCCACTGCAGGGGTGAGTAGCAGCGCTAAGATGCAGGCCAAGCACCCAGAGGCGTGCAAACACGGTCACTCACCCGTCCTGCCCTTTCTGCCCTCCTCCCTGCCCTCCGTGCGGGGCGGCACCAGCGGGCTGGGTGGTGGGGGCTGCGGTGGAGGGGGAGCTGGCGCCCGCCTCTTCTTCTTCTGTAAGTCCATCTGCGACCCCAGAGACATCTGCAGACACAAAGGAGGACAAAGGGTCAGCATGCAGGCGGCCATGTGCGTGGAGGAGCTGGCCAGGGTGATGGGCATCCCGAGGAAGGCTGGCAGGGTGCAGTCCCCTCACTGGATTCCCTGTGTGGGCAATGGAGGCAGGCGTGTGAGGACTGGCTGTGTTGCCCGGGGGTGGCCCTGTGGGAGTCCACGTATGCTCAGAGATGCCCCCAAGACCGCTAGGTGGCAGAGGGCCGAAGCTCTGCCCTGTATTTCCCAGAGGCTGCAGGCAAATCAGAAGACTAGGAAATCTCCCCTCGGTGTGAATATGAATAAGTGGGTCCTCAGCTCTTGTATGTGTGTGCGCTCAGTCATTTCTGACTCTTTGTGACCCCATGGGCTGAAGCCCACCAAGCTTCTCGGGCCATGGGATTCTCCAGGCAAGAATACTTGAGTGGGCTGCCACTTCCTCCTCCAGGGGATCTTCCCGACCCAGGAATCAAACCCTTGTCTCCTGAGTCTGCAGCACTCTCAGGAGGATTCTTTACCACTGAGCCACCTGGGAAGCCTTCCTGAGCTCTTCCTTAAATGCCCTGAAGTACTATTCCTTCTAGAAGGTTTATCAAGGGCCCCCGACGTGCTCCTGCAGAGACAGAGGGCAGCTCAGGTCCCAGCCCTGGCCTGACTTTCCCTGGCTCTCCTGCCGGTGCAGCCAGGGTAGCATCACAGGCTGATGCCCCCACCCAGAGCATCAGTGCACAGGACACCACGCTACACCCTGGCTCGGAGACTCAGCTCCTCTGAGACACTCAACAGTGAGGAGCGCTCGGCTTCTGAAGGCATCTCGTCAGGATGGAGCCAGTCTCATTGCTGAAGGGGAAATCTGTTTCATCTGTAAGGGAGTAATCTAATGGCTGATTCTGGGTCCCCATTTCTGAAAGTCTGCAAACCGCTCCTCTCCTCCTCGCCACAGACAAAGCTTCCGTACAGCCACCGTCACTGCTGAACATGTGCATAAAGAGCGCTTCATCACATGTGGGGATGTGCACAGTTCCCGCGCTGGGGGGCCGACAGAAGCCTCGGACTCCAAACCCAGTCCTTCGAGGGCTCATCCTGGGAGGGGTGCAGCTGACACCACATGCTGGGCCTCCCGTCCTGCTCTTTTGGAGCCCCGTGTTTTAATCCATGAAGGCTCCCAGAGGACAGGGCACGTGGCTCTGCTTCCCAGAGAAGGCAACCTCCTCTTGTGGGCCAGACCTGGTGCTTCAAGTATGTGTGTAGTATATGTGTGTGTGGCTCAGTGGTAAAGAACCCGCCTGCAATGCAGGGGCTCCCTGGGTTGGGAAGATCCCCTGGAATAGGAAATGGCAACCCACTCTAATATTCTTGCCTGGGGGATTCCATGAACAGAAGCGCCTGGTGGGCCACAGTCCATGGGGCTGCAGAAGGGTCAGACGTGAGTGAGTAACTAAACAACAACAAATGTGTGCATATGTATGCATGTGTGTATGTGTGTATGTGTGTGTGAAGTATGTGTGTGTGGTGCGTCTGTAAAAATCTACAACTTCATCAGTAATACATATCTCAATTTTTTAAAAAATCATAAAAGGAAGAAAAATCCTTAAATTGACACTCAGATTAACTAATAGTTGACATACATTTTTCTGGGCTTTCGGCTTTCTTTTAAAAGTCATATTTTTTTCTATTATTCTACCACAATATATTATAACCACCTCCTATACCTTTCAAACTCTTTATGAAAAACATGGCCATAAAATGGCAAAGAGTTCCACAAAGCTTAGTCAAAGCTGCAGCTCCTTGCCCACTCCAGTAGCAGCCACTTCAAACTCTTTCACTTAGCATTTACCCTGTTTTTCTAAATAAAAAGCTTATTCTGCTATTTCTGGATCTTCCCCATGTTAGATTTTGGCTTCCTACCCCAGAAGTTCTCAGACACAGGCACATGCAGACCCATAATGCCCGCCCCGCCCCCACCCCACCCCACTTTTCCTCTCAAATCTTTAAAAAAAAATTTAGAGCACAAGAATCAAACTAACATTCACTATTTAGTTTACCACATAGAGTTATAGTAGATACAATTATGAAAACAGAAGTTTTCTTCAAGAGCAAGTTTCTCTAACCAAGACATACAAAGTGTATCTTGACTATGCTTTGTTTCTAGACGAACTTTTGTTCTCTCTAAACTTGATAACTGATTTGTTTTCTAACTTTTTTCTTTTTGCTGAGTTTCCTGGTAATTCGTTTACCCAGATATTTTATCCTTTGTTCCCTGGATCCTATGCCTTTTAAAAATTCACTTCATTTTAGCCGGGCAAGGTGACTATCAGCTTTCTGAGACAAGAAGGATGTGGGTGAATTTTTGCAATCTTGAAAATCTAAGAATGTCTGCATTCTGTTACCCTGAGCCATCGGCACAGTGCCTGAGGGGTCTCTGATGGTAAGAAATCTCAGGATGCTCAGAGTTCACCCCATCCCTTCCGGCCTGCAACCCTGCAGTGAGGACACCCCACCCCAGGCTGGTTGTCCGTCCTCTCTCCTGCCGCAGGCCTGAGGAGTCCCTCACTCCTTAGGTCATGGGCATCCTGAGGCATGCCTGGGGTGAGACTGCTCTTTACCCTCTGCTGGGCGTCCACGGACTCTAGCGGTCTGTACATCCTGTGATTCGGTAGAATGTTCTTGTGCTATTCCTCAAAGATTTTTTCTTTTCTCTGTTTTCTCTCTTCTTTAAGGATTCCAATTACTTCAACACTGTGATTTCTAAATCAATTTCCTAATTTTGCTTGCCTATTCTTCCTTTGTAGTTGAAACAAAGCTGATTTAAATGTGCTAATCTCTCAGGTACAGCAAATTGAGTCTGTTTCTGTTCATAAATAGGTTCATTTGTCTTGTGTTTGAATATTCTTGACTAATTAGAAAAAAAACTTTTTTACCCTCTCTCTTAGAAATCTCCTTTATTTCATTATCCAACTCTTTTGGCTTTTAACTTTTTGGCGACTATATTTTTAACCTCCAAGCACTCTTTTTTGTTATATCTTTTTGAAACACGTTCATGTCTTGCTTCCTGGATACACTCTCTTTTCTCTCTGAGGCTATTAATTCATATCTTTAAAAACACATCTTCCTACTCAGCTATAAAAACGAGTGAAATAACGCCATTTGCAGCAACATGAGTGGATGTAGAGGTGATCACACTAAGTGAAGTCAGACAGACACCGTGTAATTTCATTTATATGTGGAATCTAAAATGTGATACAAATGAATCTATTACAAAATAGAAACAGAGCTTGTGGCCACCAAAGGGGAACAGTGGTGGAGAGATGAGTTAGGAAGGTGGGGCTGACAAACGCCCACTAATCTGTGTAAACCAGACAATCAACAAGGACCTATTGTTTAGCACAGGGGACTCTGTTTTAGCAGTCTGTAACGGAAGAGAATCTGAGAGAGCAGATATAATAGGTGTATGCCTGAGTCACTTTGCTGAGTATCTCAAACTGGCACAGCATTGTCACTCAACTATGCATCAGTAAAAGCCTTCCTTTTCATTTTCTTCTGCTGTGTGGGTGTGTATGTGCTAGTCACTTGGTCCTGTATGCTCTTTGCGACCCCATGGACTGTTGCCCACCAGGCCCCTCTGTCCATGGGGATTCTCCAGGCAAGGATACTGGAGTGGGTTGCCATTTCCTTCTCCAGGGGATCTTCCTGACCCAGCGATTAAACCTGGGTCTCCTGCATTACAGGCAGATTCTTTACTAACAGAGCTACAAGGGAAGCCCTTGGCCAACTGCTCCTAAATAAGTGTGTTTTTGTGGATAGGATCTGTGAACATTCATGACCTTTCCTGGAGTTGCCTGGTCAGAAATCCAATTGGCTCACTGGGGGAATCCCCAACTATGCATATCTTTAGGACACTCTCTGAGGCTTCCTAGGTGGTGCTGTTGTTAATGAACCTGTCTGCCAATGCAGGAAATCTGAGACAGGAGTGTGGACTCCATCAGCCACAGTCCATTCAATTGACACCCTCTGTCTTTGGAGGAATATTAAGATTGTGATCTCAGTGATGACAAATTAAACTTTCTAGAAGTCCTTTATCTTTCCCATGTGCCCCTTTCTTTTCTTCTCCTTTTACTGAGTTTCTGATACATTCCTTGACTATAACCTCTTAGGTAAGGAACACATAAGACTGGAGGAAAAGCAGATTCAAAAACGGATTTCCCAAATTTAAGAATCTTTGTCATGTGGTTACTTCCCAAACTCAGGATAAATTCACCAAGACTCTTTCAAATAAACGGCTCTCAAATTTTCCACTGTTCTATCAGAGCCTATATATTGTTAATGTCCATGGTTTTCCTGGGGTCTGGTTGCCTGTGGGGTGTGTGAGCTGGGCCCTCAGTAGACCCTGAGCGGGGAGGCTCTGGTCAGAGGTGGTCACGGCTCTCACCACCAGCACTATCATAATCCTGCCTCCACCTTCATCGAGCTGCAGACGATGCTGAAAGGCAGACAGCCTCGGCTCTGGTACCTGGATTTCTTTCTTCGGGGCTGACATTCATCCATTCATTAATCATGATTGCTCAAACACTATGGATGTGCCTGCCTGTGTGATTTTCTAGTCCACATTTCTCAATCTCTTCTTAAAAGATGATGAGAGATTTTGTTTAATGTTCCTTGTTCAGTTGTTCTTTCCATTAATTCACCAGCTATTGCTAGTTCCTTGTTCTGTGACTGGAAAGACAGTGACTTCAAAGGACACGTGGGAAAGATAGAGTTCCTGACCTACTGAAGACCACCATCGAATGAAGGAGAGAGGATTCTGTAACATGAGATGATCTTCTTCTGGCTGGAAACGCTGCCGAGAGCTGTAATTTGGGGCTGACTTGGGACACAGTCTCCTCTGTGAGTTCACGCTGGTTGATCAGTGCCTGCTAAGCTCCCACTGACGTCTGTATAATGACGACGCACTCTAGATTCTGCCGAGCGCCGGCATCAAGTGGGAGATAATT